CTAGTTTCTGGGGCGGCAGAAAACAAATTTGTTTCCTCCTCAATATGACATCCCTTCAAATATTTAAACACGGCTATCATATCGCCTCTTAACCTTCTCTTCTCCAGGCTAAACATACCCAGTTCCCTAAGTCGTTCCTCATAGGGCTTGGTTTCCAGACCCTTCACCATTTTAGTTGTCCTCCTTTGGACATGATTTCATGATCCTTTGATATCTCTTACAAGTTGTGTCTGCCAATGCTATAATCCTTTCAACACCTTTGTGGAGGCAGAGAAAAATGTCTCCTTTAACAGAAGGCAAGTAACAGCAAGACATTTGTTTCACATTCAGATCCATTTAACAGCTTATAGCTGTTAGAAGTTGATAGAAGTTGTCACAAACTATTTTCTAATTTCCAACTAGCATTACACAGAAATTGATTAAAGGTTTTTGAGCATCAATGATTTCCTTTTAAGGAATGAGTCATGATTATTAGGTTTATTACGGGTCTATAAATACATCTACTGTAGTACAGGGTACAAAAGATCAGCGATGATATCACTCCATCTCTTGGAAACTAAGAGGCAGCCATTTCTCCAAATATGAATCTGTTTTGAACAAAATTGGTGGCTTGGAGAAAGTAGGGAACTAATTTATATTGCACTGAAGGGATAATAAAGCATTTTTATTGTTTGAGGCATTTTCCCCTCCCCACAGTGTATCAACTCTTGGTCAATCACACACACCCAGGTTACATAACTATTTAACATGTCAGTGATGCAGCAGCATCGGGAGTGGGCAATCCTGTTGTTAGAGGTTATGTCCAGTTGCAATGTGAGCTTTGGCACCACTGCTATGGATATAAAGAGCTGGAATGAGGCAGCTGGGTGCTTAATTCAGCTAAGATTTACATTTCAGTTTAGACCAGTGATATTCAAAGAAGTGGATTGTGGGCTAGTTGTGCTACTCAGGCCATTGGCTGCTAGCCTCCAGAAAGTTTCCTGGAAAGAAAGATATAGTTGTAGTCAGCAACTGTCACAACTAATTGTTCATGCCAGCTTTTTAGTTGGAATAGACCTTGATAGTCACAGCCAAAAGCTCAATACAGTCACCCATCTTTATCCACAAATTCTTTATCCATGGATTCAACTATGCACGGCTTAAAAATATTCCAAGAAGATATAAATTCCAAAAAGCAAATTTTGCAGTTTGCCAATGTGTCTAATGGAACTTGAGCATCCACAGATGTTGGTATCCATGGATGGTCCTGGAATCAAACCTCAGCAGATACCAAGGGCCCACTGTACTGTAAAATAGCTCAAAATCTATGACTTTCCAATTCTAGCTTTGGGTATTTTAAAAAAACTTAACTTATCCCATTAGAATGACTTTTGTCATTTATAATTTTGTACTATGAGTCTCGTGTTTAGAGCTTCCCATTCCAGTTTGATATAGGTGGTGTATATCTTCTTTATTATGGTACTATTATAGTATGTTAATCAACTTTTGAATGACTGTAGATATGTCATGCTGGTAAGAACCTTTAACCCCAATATTCTTATGAACTTTTTCCTTCCTGCTCAGATGTGCAGTCATTACATAGATTATAAATACTTTCATGCTACTGCAACATTCAAAGTTCACTTTGAGCATAAGAATAAACTCTGGATCAAAAGTACTTCCACTGCTCTGGATTGTTACCTTTTGAATTTAATAGGACATTTTTACAAGACTGGGTAAGTTCAAATTTGCCGGGATACCTTTGTTTCAAAAAGTTGTTTTGCCTGCTCCTCCCTGACTACTACTTACCATGGGAGATTAGGTTGGCTCCTTCTAGCCTTTCTGTCACTAGACAGGCCTATTGCATCAAAGATGAAAGGGGGGAGGTCTAACCAGTTACGTGCTGGCTGTATCTTTTATTAATGATTTTTTTTGTTATGTTTTTAGTCAAGATTTTATTTCTCAACTGTTTTCTCAAAAAAGCTACTGTATCAGGCACAACTTGACAACTTTGTTTATCTTATACCTTGATTACCTTTTTTGATAGACTGGGTATAAATTAATTCAGTAAATATATATGGGACAAATAAGGGTATAGTGCTAATTCTTCTCTGTATTGGTAAAGGTGAAATATATATTTTAAATATTGAATGTTGTCCTTGCATGAGAAATGTTCTTACCAGTGAGAAGCAGGATTCTCTGGAAGTGTATAGCATACTATTGCATATTACTGTATGTGCAAGAAAGTTGGCTTTTTTCAATGATAAAAGGGATGTGAACCATAGATACCTGAATGGAGATCATGGCTGAATTTATTGGTTTTGGTCACTACATGTATAAATGCATGAAGAAAGAAAGCAAAACATGAGAAAAGTTCATGTTGAGTAATAATAATAATAATAATAATAATAATAATCATCATCATCATCATCATCATCATCATCATCATCATCCCACCGTTCTGCAACGCAATCGGGGTGGCTTACAATCATAAAACATCACAGTAATAAAACATCAATGTCAATACCCTAACCCGCCCGCCCCTTAAAAAAATATTAAACTAATTAATTTTAAAAACATAGTAAAACAATAACAAAAGAAATAATATATCCAATACAGTTTTGCGGCAGATTGGGTATTCAGCAGCATAAGAAAGGGGGGAATTATTTAAAACTTAGGCCAGAAGTAGAATTACTTCAAGATGATAGTTCAGTCCAGCAGCAAGGTACAGAGCAGCCAATATTTGTTTTGGAATACCAAATAATTAATAAGAACTATTAATTGAATATACATGAAAATGGCTCAGAAACTTGAGTCAGAAACTGGCCAATTCACTGAAAATGTAGCCAAATTGGAAGGATGCAGGCCAATCTCATAGAAATTATGATGAATGTCACATATGTGGGCAAGCTAAGAAGTAGTAATGAATAAAGTGACAGAAAAAATACAACAGAAAAGAAGCAAAAGCTGTTGAAAAAATTTAAAACTACATTGTTTAAACTTTTTAAAAAAATGCTCATTTTTACAAAATAAATGGGATTTGTTACTGTCATTACATGTTCTTGTGTTCATTGTGTGAATAGTTATTCCAAATGTGAATTCAATAGCAACAAATCCTTAAAATTACAGCTCATTTAGATCCACTCTAAATCAACACTTATCTATTCCACTGATTTAATGGACCCACTCCAGACGGTACTGACAATTAGATTTAGGCCATTGTTTTAAATGAATTAAGAGACCTTCATATCAGATCTAATTTGAGTTCACCCACTACTTCCCCTAGAACAGTGATTCCTAACCATTCATCTGCAGACCCTCAGGGGGCCACAATGTCCTCACAGCAAGGACCTTATCACACATGGCCCACAAAGCGATAATAATCCTGAAATGACAAATTCCGAAAAGAAACTGCAAAGAAACCTTCATTACGCAAATGGTTATCACATGCAATTACCGTCATCGCTCATTTAAGGAAATGCGTATTTGCCGTTCACACACAAGTGAGAAAATCCCGTACATGAACAAGCAATGATGTTCTTGCACATGCGCACTATGCTCGCCGCGGCTGTCACTCGCAGCAGCTGTCACCCTTTCCCATGTCCCAGGCCCTCTGCACGGCCGGCGCTCCGAGGAGGACCTCCCGCCACAGCGTTCCCTGAGGAGGTCCTCCTTGGAGCGCTGGCCCTGTGTCGGAGCGGCGCTCCGAAGAGGTCTCCCTTGGAGAGGCGGCTCTCCGAGGAGGTCCTCCTTGGAGCGCCGGCCCTGCGTCGGATTGGTGCTCCGAGGAGGTCCCCCTTTGGAGAGGCGATACGTATTTGGCGATACGTATTTGGTCACCATACTTATGGTAAAAGCGAAATGAAAGTGAAATGATTCCTGTCGCGCAATTGCACTTCCTGAAGAAACCGAAATTCAAAAGAACTCAGATCATGCCGCATTGTGTCGGAGTTCTGTGCGACGTCGTGTGTAAACACAGGAAAATAATACATATTAGGTCGGGATTTCTATTGGATTCTGTCAGGATTGGGCCCCGTGTGATAAGGTCCCGAGTCTGCAAAGGCTTGAAGGCTGCTCAGTCCGTCTCCTCCCTCCAGGCAAGTGGCCTCATGACAAGATCCAAGGCAAAGGCTGGCTGGCTGGCTGGGCGGGCCTACGTGTTGCCATTCAATATGTTCCAGCTGCAAACTGATGGAAGATTCAGGAGAAAAGTCTTCCTTCCCTCTCCCACACTTCTGAGGGATGGTGTAATTATTAATGCTTCGCTGTTCAGATAATGATAATGATAAAGATAGGGTTTGAAATCTTGAGTTAAGTCTTGGGGGCCAGTAGCAACAAAAGATATTTAAAAGGGGTCCCTGGTAAAGAAAAGGTTAAGAACCACCACCCAGAAGAACAGGTCTGTTCCTGAGATCGTTCAAGATCCTATGTTTTGTGAACAACACAAATCCGGCACACACTATTCAACATCCATCATCTGTGAAACAGATAGAAAAGAATTCAGGGGTAGGCAACCTTTCCCCTTTAAGGGCCAAGGGACTTCAGCTCCCATAATCCCAGGAGCTATTGGCCAACATGGGACTATTGGCCAACTTGGCTGAGGCTTCTGGAAGCTGAAGTCCCTCGGCCCTTAAAGGGGAAAGGTTGCCTACCCCTGGAAAAGATCATCATAAAAAAGCATGTTTTCCTACAGCTATTATTTCTTGCTTCATTTAATTTCAAAAATGTTTTTAAAATCACAATTTCTTTTTAGCTCTGTATTATTTATTTCTCATGGTTCCACTGGTTGGAAGCTTGGTTGCTGGAACTTATTCAATCTTGTATCCTTTCAAAACATTATCAACAGAATAGTTGTTTGTTGCTATTGTTGTGTGCCTTCAAGTTTTTTTTCCTACTTATAGTGATGCTAAGGTGAACCTACCATGTGGTTTTCTTGGCAAGATTTTTTCATAGGTTTGCTGTTACCTTCCCCTGAAGCTGAGAGCATGTGACTTGTCCAAGATCACCCAGTGGATTTCATGGTCAAGCAGGGAATTGAACCCTGGTCTCTGGAGTTTTAGTCCAGCGTTCAAACCATGATGCCACACTGTTGATTGCTATCAGCTTAATCATAATCAATAAGCAGTAGCTACCTCCAACTCCTTTATTGGCAATAAGCAAGATACTAAATGTGTACAATCTGTTATTCTACAAAAGGAATAGCGATAGCATTTATATTTCTAAATGAAAGGAAAAAATGTGGCCCATCAGATTTGAGAACAGTTTTTCTTGAATGTATCTGGTGGATCTTTCTTTGATTTTAAGAGCACAGGAGAACTGGAAATATTAGGATAGGTGGTGTGTAGTTACTTCTGAAGGTGTCATGCTTGAAGGCTCTCCCTTTTAGGATACCATGGAAGAAGAATATGTAGAAGGCCAGTACAAAAAGCTCCAAGAGCAACGTATGGCTATGCAGAAGAAAACATTCACCAATTGGATCAACAATATTTTCTACAAACATGCTGTAAGTATTTTCCTCACAACCTTTAGGAATGAGCAGCTCTGTTAACTCCATATGGACTCCTCTTTTTCCCCATTTCCAAACCTCTTCCATGATAGTTCCATGCAGATTTTTAATGAAAAACATTTATTTGTATTTTTCATATGCACTCATTTTAGCATTCAACATGAAAGGTTCTTAAAAATAAATAAACAGAGCAAATTCTTCACTACTCCAAATGTGATCAATTTAAATTTAAATTTTAAACACTTTATTAGTGGAGTCAACATCTTCGCTGCAAGTCCCTAAAATGTAAGAAATCTGTTTCATCTTGTTAATTTTGAAGCATAACACCAAAAATAGTATTTCATTTTTAATTTCTTATACTTCTAAATTTGCTTCATTCAGTGTAGCTGCAAAACAAGCACTGGATGGACAAAGCAGTAGTGATGCATATTTCCATGGAATCCTTCCATTGTTACATATGAAATCCTGAAGTTGTATGGGTCACTCAACTCTCACTCCTTTGGTACTTTATTACAAAACTATTTAAAACCCATTTTATAGGTTTTTGTGGGGTTTTTTCAGGCTGTAAGGCCATGTTCTAGAAGAATGTATTCCTGACATTTCTCCTGCATCTGTGGCTGGTATCTTCAGAGAATCTCAGAAGATGCCAGTCACAGATGCAGGCAAAATGTCAGGAATACATTCTTCTAGAACACAGCCTCACAGCCTGAAAAATGCACAAAAACCTATGGATGCCGGCCGTGAAAGCCTTCAACTTCACATAAAACCCATTTTGTTTGCCTTGCCAAGGTATGTTTTAATTTCAGCTCCCCCTATTTCTGCCCTCAATGGATGCTGGATTACAACTCCCATCAACCCCAGCCAGGATTCTCAAAGATTTGGAGGAGACCAGTCTAGGCTGTTTTAAATTCAGTTCAGAGAAGTTTCCAAACACCAGATTTGGGCCAAGATATTTAGTTGTTCCAGTTGTTATATCTGTTAATGTCAATAGTAATGGCTTTTTATCTTTAGTTTTGAATGTTTAATTTTGCAGGTGAACCACAGGATTCAAGATCTCTACACTGAACTGAAGGATGGCATTCATTTCTTACAGCTACTAGAGCTTTTGTCTGCTGAGCAACTACCCAAGCCAAACAAGGGCAAGATGAGGGTTCATTTTCTGGAGAACAACAGCAAAGCCATCCAGTTCCTCAAATCCAAGGTGGGAAATATTTCTGGAGGGGATGGGATAAGATAATATAAAGTTCCAGAACAGTGTGGGAGTGCAGCGATGAGGTGGCTATTTATCCGGGCATTATTGATTTTAGTTTATTTATTAAAATATTAATATGCTGCAGTATATCACAAGACTTCAGGGCAGTGTACCAGTGAAATCAACATATATGATGAACAACATAAACAATGGATAATGGTGAAAACCAGATAATTCCAAAAGAAAACCTGTATGTGCATTATTGACTACAGCAAAGCTTTCGACTGTATAGGCCATAGGAAGCTATGGAATGCTCTCAGAGAAATGAGAATGCCACTACATTTGTTTGTCCTGATGTTTAACCTCTACTCAGGACAAGAGGCTGCTGTTGAAACTGAATATGGAGAAACAGAATGGTTTCCCGTTGGAAAAGGGATCAAGTAAGGCTGCATACTATCACCTTATTTATTCAACCTATACAATGGGCCCTTGGTATCCTCTTGGGTTTGGTTCCAGGACACACATCCCCCATGGATACTAAAATCCATAGCTGCTGGAGATCATTATAGACAATGGCATAGTTAAATGGCATCCCTTATATAAGATAGCAAAAACAAGGTTTGCTTTTTGGAATTTATATTTTTAAAATATTTTCAAGATGTGGATAGTTGAATTCATGGATTAAAAAGCTGTGGATAAGGAGGGCTGACTGTATGTAGAAAACATCATCTGCAGAGCAGGCTTAGGCTTAAAGGCAGGAGGATTGAAGATCAGAGGAAAAAACATTAACAATCTAAGATTATGCAGATGGCACAATACTACTAGCAGAAACCAACAAAGACCTGGAGCAATTACTCAAGAAGAAAATTGCCAAGGTAGGTTTGATGTTGAACATTAAGGCAATAAAATAAAGACCAGAGGATCTACGAGAATTCATCCTAGGGCTCAATCCCACTTACATTTAATCCAGTTTGTGATTCGGTTTCGTTCCAAGTTGGTGAACCAATTCCAGACGATGCGTCGTTTCCACTATGAAAGCGGGTCTTCTTTATTTGCTTCTTTTTGCCACAATTGTTGCTCCCACTAGTTTGTGCCCCTTCAAAATGCCTGTCAATCATCTATGGATCATCGGTGATGCAACTGGCAACACATTAAAGAAAACATGGGAGGGAGTCATGGATGCCATGGCCAGAATCCCATCC